ACATTGGGTTTTGCAGAGAAGGGCTTTAATGGAAGAGCTGTGCAGGGTGAGTGCCGAAAACAAGAAGCTAACAGAAATGCTGACTACAGTCTGCGAGAACTACACCGAGCTAAGAAACCGGTTGGTAGAGCACACAGGCAAAAGTTGTGTGGTGGAAAATGCAAATTGTAATAATAATAATAATAATAATAATAATAATAATAATAATACAGTATCAAGAAAGAGGAAATCTGAACTGATGGGCTTCAACAGTGTTGATGTTAATGTGGGGTCCACAGACAGCAGCTCGAGCGGTGAAGTTCATTCGTCCAACAAATCAAGGGAAGAAATCATCAAGGCCAAGATTTCGCGTGTTCATGTCCGAACAGAGGCATCTGATACGAGCCTCGTAAGTATATGAATTGAGTTTGTTTTGTTAGTTGCAAAGTATGCGAAGTGAGTATATATAATTTATTTATTTATTTTTTATTTATTATTATTATTATTTTTTTTTTCCAGATAGTGAAGGATGGTTATCAATGGAGGAAATATGGACAGAAGGTGACTAGGGACAATCCTTCTCCAAGAGCTTACTTCAGATGTTCTTTTGCTCCTACTTGTCCTGTCAAGAAGAAGGTAAAAAAAAAAAAAATCGAATTGTTTGATAGAACAAAATTTGAAAAGATTTTTTCTCATCTGAGAAATTTAGTTTTGGACACTCTTTCAGGTTCAAAGGAGTGTAGAAGATCAGTCGATAGTGGTGGCAACGTACGAAGGAGAACACAATCATCCCCACCCCTTGAAGCCCGAGTCGAGTCCCACGAGCAATCGAAGCATGAAACTTGGAAGAGTCATGTGCTCAAATGCACAAACAATCACACTTGATCTCACCAAACAAAACTCAAGTCCCCAAGAGAAGAGAAGCTCAAGAGGCAAATTCGAGACACCGCAAGTACTCCAACAGCACTTTGTGGAACAAATGGCTTCTACATTGACCAAAGATCCAAACTTCAAAGCAGCCCTAGCGGCTGCTATTTCGGGAAAGTTTCTTCAGCAGAATAATTGAATGGGAAAATGGTGCCCGACTTCAGGTGCCAAGATAAGGATATGGAATTTTCATGTGCCATTATCCACATAGTGAAATGTTCTGTCTATCATCTACTTCTCTTACTTGTAAATGGTTAATTCTTGCTGATACGGCAAATTTACTCCGAGACAGAGATTTCTAATGAATATTAGGGTGTTTTTCTTTAGCAGTTTCTCTTTTTCCTCCGTTGTTTCATTCATTACATATGCCGACAAGCATACAAGGATTCACTTGTAATGACTTAATGACGTATAACCTTGTCTTTTTATACTTGGTCTAAACTTCACGTAGTCGAAATGGACATTGGATTGCACAAGGAAGCAAGATTAGGTTGAGACTTAAACTGCAAACGAGAGCAGCTCGCAAGCGCTTGAGTCAATGCTCGACTCGAGCTCGAGCAGTTCAATCGAGCAACATAAATACCCCATATCATTATTCACTACACACCAATGCTAAAGATATGAAATCTACAAGAAAGGCAATAATAATTTATAATGAATTGTACATGAACTTCAGTGTGCAGTAAGCCGCACACGTGTGTGAAACTACACAATACATAAGAGGATCAATACAAACAACAACGTGAAAATTAACTACCTGGACAAATTTATATCATCAATATTGCTAATCAATTCCAACTTGATAATATCTCCGGGAAATTTCTCCTCATTGGTGGAAGTAATGCTCTCACTTTTCCCCCTTTTATCACCTGCAATTATGCAATCTTGATATCTGAAACAACTGATAAGGTGGTCATTTGTGATTCCAGCGACTTGCATGAATGAGTAGACGACTGTGGGCCCAACTCCTCGAAATCCTCTTTTAACGAGATCTTTGCTTATTGTATCTGCCTTCGATGTCTTGATTGGAACTTGGCGAGGGTAGCGAAAATTATTGACGATAGGCTTGTAGTTCACAAACCCCCAAATGTATTTATCGAAAGACCCAACCTCATTTATGATCTGGATAAAATCCATAATGTATTTACATATCATAACAGCACAAGAACAATAACAAAATCCTTCAATACATTTCTTTTTTTAAGATAATTAAGCATCACCTCCACAGTAAATAACCATATACTTCAAACATATCATTTGACAAAACCCATGATTAGCCTCGTTTTTCTTAATGAGACGATCATGGACCTTTATTTCTCAATGATTTCTTTAATCAGTTTCTTCTCTGATGAATCTTCTCCAAGGCAGCAGTTGAATGGCTAATTGCCTAATTCAACATTTATCGTAGCTAATGAATTTCCAAGAGTTAACAAGTTGTCTTCATGTAACCACATATAACATTTACTTTTCTTTATGAAACAGAAGCAGACACAGCTCATAAACTTAGAAATAGAACTGAACTTATGCATAGTAACTGAAGTCTTGATCACTACTTACTCCCCAGTTTTGATGTCCGTTCAAGAGTTCAAGTTCAATTGCGAAAAGAATATGCTATACTTTTAGCAAACATTTTCACTATTTGACAGCAACATACCTTACAAATTTGACGTGCATTCTCAATTACAGCCCGCAACTTTACTTCTGACAGAAGAGAGTTGGCAGGACTTCCTGTTGTTGCAATTTTCTTGTCATTTAATTTTGACACAGCAACTGGATCAAAGTCCAGAAAGACATCTCTGAATTCGGATCAAACCAAAATGATGAGAACTAGCTAATTCAATATACCACGGTTTTCGTGATCAATTTGTTTATAGATGTAACAGAAAGAGCAAATCCAACAAACCTAAAGATATGTCTTTTACTCAGAATGGCAGGCCATGCTAGTTCGGCCAATGCAGTGGAAAAGGTCAGCAGTTCGAAAAGTTTCCTGCAAATCATTAGAAGCAGGCAGATGCGAAATGAGAGCTGAAAAAAGTTGATACTACATGGTAAGGAATAAACAGAAATGGCAAAATCAAGAAGCAAGATCAAGCTTTTGGAATTACTTGTCATCATGAACAGGAAGACCCCATTCTTCGTCATGGAAAGCCACATATGATGGATCTTTGCAGAAAGGAAAACCAATTAGATAAAGGTATTGCAGAAGCAATTTTTATAAAATGAAGAAATAAAACTGCATTTTTCATTCAAATAACTCACAACATGCATCTAGTTGTCTGACAATAGAGAAATAGAACTGCATTTTTCATTGAGAACTAGCTTGGACTGCTGAGTGAGGCCTTAAGAAAAAGAAAGTTCTTTGTACAGAGGCCAATGCCAAATTCAAACACCCTTTGCCCCTAAAAGAAAATCCATATTTTATTTCTCCATAAAAGAAGTTGTGCATACCAATGTTTCAATAGGCATATCAAGGATTTATAGTGAACGTGCCAAACTTCTCTATCTATGGTGGCGAATATGCAAATTCAGTCTATGGAATTTGAGGAATTTGGTGGCCATGGCTTAGAATTTAGAAGCTCACGGTATAGGCAGGGCCGTGGTAAGTAATCCAAGATTTCTTGATGAGGCTATAGTTATAGGAAGAACTTTAGTCCTTAATTTTCTTTTACTGTTTCATGTTTAGATCAAAATCATTTGTAGCTCATACGAGTTATGTTGGTTTCCTCTGCCCAGATTTTTCAGAACACGCAACATTTACCAATAAACAAAAGAAAAAAACACGAACCGGAAGAGCAAGAAATCGCATCCACACCAAAAACTCAATGGTATCAAATGCTCATAAAACGCCTAGTTTAGGAAAATCACCCAAGTTAAAACAAGCACACGACTTCCTAGAAGGCAAAACTACAAAAAAAAAAGAAAAGAAAAAAGAAGCTCAAGTGGCTATGCAAAAATCATGCTACACTCACTTCTCTCTCAATATATAATTAAACTTATAGCTTCCTCAACAGTTAGTATGAAATAAAGGAAATGATTCAGTCAACAGATACTATCTTACAAATATTAGTTGAAATCCATTTTATCATATATAACTATTGGTGAAGAATCACAACTTATAACTATTGGTGTTTGGTGGCAAAATGCGACCACGTACTTATCGCAGAAATACTTACTAAAACATTCCCTCTTCCACTGTCATCCAACTCGAGGAGCCCAATAAATGCGATAATACAAACAGTACCCACCGACCTGATTATTATGGTATTTCAGACTCCAAAACTCAAATTAGAGCAAAAACTATGATCCTATCCCAATACAGGCAATCATAGTCCAATACATTTTACATAAATCCTTATACTACGAACCAAGTACTCAGCCATTCAAAATAAGCTAAGTATAACTAGACCTACACAGAAAACCGATTTAATCAAAATCAAATAGTTCACGCTTTAGAAATCCAATATTCAGAAAGCATGTACAGAACAATACCAGTATTCGGAGTCACCCAAGCACACTTTTTTATAACCACAGCACCCTGTCTTTCAGCCCCAACATTATTCTCATTTTCCTCCTTATTTTCAATTTTCTCAGTTTCAGAGCTGCACTGCTGCTTTTTCTTTACAGGTGGCGTTTGGGACCTACTCCTCCAACTAATTTTCCCAGTAGATGATCTGCTATGAGAGGAATCAGATGAAGCATCTGACGAGCACGAAGCACTCCTCGACAACTTCAGTTTCTGCTGATTTAGAGTCGAGATGGCGGAACTCCCTTTCTTCCTCAAACCCACCATAGATGAGAAATTATCCGAAGTCATCTCCGGCGACTGCAATGCGGCAGGGGAATCTTTCCCCTTGCTCTCATCAACGCTCGTCTTTTCACTCTTCGGCTTCAGAATGGGCTTCCGAAATTCTACAGATCGGGCTTTGTTTCCTGCTGGCCCGAACACAGTTCGAGCTTCCGGTTCAGATGAATGCATTGGCTTCGCCCTTGGCGGCCCCGACATCATCAGTTGCTAGAATTAGGGTTTCTAGAGTTCGCTTCACGGGTCGAATTCCAGAGTAAGCATAGGCTTCAGAAAATTGGGGTTTTCAGGTGAGGTTTGGGAAGTGTATTGTAGTACGGTGGTGAAGTGAGTAGGTGATTAGAATCAAAAGAGAGACGAGAATTCACCTTGATTTGAAGTGTTAAAAGGTCAGGCTGGACGGCGGCCGGAAGCGCCGCCACCAGATGTTGATAAGCTGCGGTTAGTTGGATGTTCCTCTCAGGCAACAAGAAAGAGAGAAACAAACCATAAATGAACCAATAACGGGTTTTGGATCGAAAAACCTCTTCTCGACGTTTCGTATATGTGTGTGTTGTGTACTGCGTCACATTTCTTTTTTTTTTTTATTTTTTTTTTAATCGGTAAATGGTGAATATATAGATAAAAAATAGCGTTACAATGACCGTCGAACGGCAAACAAAAACCAAGTGGGCAACCACAAGCTCGGTTCCTCACTCGCTAATCAAAATAATAAGAGGCAAACCACAAGTCGGTTGCTCAGTTCAAACAAAATCGTAACCATATATCAAAACGACTTTCCTCTCAAACTCGGCAAGTACATTCGAAAACACTGCGAACATTGTACGATAAACATGTGTTTGCATCTTACATACCTCAAGGAGGTTTAGCCTAGCCATTTCCAAAGGCATTCCTTTCCACTTCGGCAAGGACATTCGAGTACAAAACCAAAATATTCCGGTAGACATGATTTGAATTTTTCGAATGATGAGCTCCGGTGATTGTACTTCATTTTCGAATATCTTGCTATTCCGAACATTCCAAAGAAAGTACACCATTCACGCGAGTCCGGCCTTCTTTGCTTTTGTTCTCCAACTGGAGCCTTGGGCATCCTTCTTAATCTACTTCAATGCACTCTTAAGTGTGGAGAGTTGCCGCCTCAAACCTAGCCAATGTCGGATGCCAAACCAAACTTGAGCCGATAGGGAACAAGTGAAAAAGAGATGATCAATGGTCTTGAAATCTTTCCCACAAAATACATAAGTAGGGTCGAGTTCAAGGAAGTCGAGCCTATCCTTGGTACGGAGCCTCCGAGCGTTGCTAGCCAAAGGATGAATGTGTGTTTGGGGGTGTTGGCGGGACCCCAAACGACTCACTTCCAAGGGACGGGTGTACCTTTAGCTCGAAAGAACTCATAGACGCATGAATGCCCCTTGGATTGGGATTTGGATTCCCAAAGACTTAGAGCGGCCTCGGCAGCTTGCATACTACCCTACTTTTCAACCATTAGATTCCGAATATCATAGAGGTTTTTGAAAATGGGTGAATCACTCTTGTGGATAGTCCATTCCCAAACGGGCTTTTGCCAAAGATAGACATGATGAACCCAACAAAACCCGACCTCTCCACCTTGGGAACTTGAAACCTCGAAGTCACTCTTTGTGTCCGAGCTCCTGGTGGTCACTACCTCCATGTCATCTTATCTGGTTATTCAGTACCTTGAGCTGCTTCTGCGAGCTCCCTAAATGGTTTATCTTCCTATTAGCGAGTTGGAGCTTGTTTGGACCAACTTACCCGAGCTACCACTTAGGTCAGTCTACCGAACTATTTTGTATGCTACATCAATGTTTGTTGTCGTACTGCAACAAAAATCGCCGCCAATATGCTTCTACGAGAAATTGTATTTTTCCAGCCATCTATAGTCATTTTTAGATGACTTTGTGGCGTATGTTTGATACCTTGTTGAATTTTAGTATTACTGCATACTCGCAGACTGATGTGCAGATTGAGGTCATTAATAGGATGCTTGAGTACCTTATTTGTTGTATTTGTGGTGATCGGCCGAAAGAGTAAGATCGTGCATTGTTGTAGACAAAGTTTGCCTTCAATAGTACATTCATAGTTCTACAGGGAAGTCACATTTCACCATTGTTTATCAGAAGGTGTCTCGACATGTAGTTGAGTTAGTCAAGTTGGCGTAAGTTGCTAGCTATAGCACGACTGCATCAGATTTGGCTAAAACTTTGCTAGACATACAATCGAAAGTTCGTGAGAATTTGTTGATGACTCAGAAATTTAAGGAAGTGACTGATAAGCATCAATACATTAACTTGTTCGAGGTTGGTCATAAGTCGCAATGGTCGTGCTGTCGTAGGCACCCAAATTAACCTTGCTTAAAAATATGTAGTAGCGTGAGCAAGGATCGTATCCACGGGGAATAATTTAATTAAATGACTGTAACTATGTGATTAAAATGGGGGAGAATTGGTTTTTAATCCTAATTATCTAATTAACAAGAAAATAAAGAAAGCAATAGTTAACAATTCTTGAACAAGAGATTCGCAAGCAACAAGATGAAGATGAAAAATATTACCAAAGTGCTCCGGTTGAATTGATTTCCACCCCGAATTATTCTACTGATCCTCGATGCAAATATTATCAATTCATAAATACGTAGATGCCGTTGAATGATGAATTCTGACTCCTAAATTGGCTATGCAAAATAAATCCTTCTACACAACCCTTATTACTAAGCAATTCCCAACATCGTGTAAAATTATCCTAGCAATAGCATTAAGAAGTAGAGCCCGACAACACAAGCAACAAATAACTAATCCGTTAAATGCTAACTTGTATAATTATTTTGCCTAAGAATGATAACGCCTAAATCCGGTCAATCACCACACTTAGATGCTTCTTACGATAGATAAATTATCTAAATCCGACTCAATATCTACCAAGCAATAGATTAAGTGCACAAGACAATAGTTGATCAGGCTACGATCCTAACACAAAATCATAAGCATAAACACAATTAATACAAAATATAAATTAATAAATAAAAACTAATTAGATCTCACAGTATTAAGTTCGGGGTTTCAATCGTGTTCAACCGAAACAAAAGAGAATTAGCCGCGCAGGGCTTCCATGATCCAAGAGAAAAGAGAAAGAAATATAGTGAAGAAAAGAGAGGAGAGAGTTGATGTTCGTGAAGATCCCTTCTGTTGCTCCTTGCGGCTATTGTACGTGCAGTGTAGGTCTCAAAAATCTGATCTCCTCATGTTTAATTATGGTTGGACTTTTAATCCTATTGGGCTCAATGTTTACGGGCCTACGTCCAAATCATAAGCTATGCACTGTCCGTCCATACTGACATGGCCATGTTTAAACAAAACCCAGTGCTGCCATGTTGGTTATATGTGCACCATGCGATCTAACTGCACAAAAATATCAACAAAGGTAGTTTCTACTCGAAGACACATGATAAAGTCGAAAACACGTCACTTAAGCACAAATATCCAACACATAGTCCAAATTTTACTATATTATAAACATATATTTTCGACTTATCAAACACCCCCACGCTTAAAACGATGCTTGTCCTCAAGCATAAAGTCAAATCCATTATCTCAACTCACAATCATCTTCTATCATCCAATGCCAATTCGAAACATAAAGTAAGCATCAACACACAAGTCAAACTTGAGTCCCCATCAACCAAACAATGAGAAATACACCCAACAATCACGTAACTTAAACACATGGAAATTAACACTTCTCACGAGATTCACTCTTTCACTCAAAGTGTATAGGCAAGATATAAATGTACGCTCAAGTCAAGACATCGAAGATTTTTACCATAAGCTTGCAAAGATATCATGTCCAACCACCCAAAATGAATAAGAATAAACACAAAATCAAAGGGTTAAAATTGGGTTGTAATGAGGCTTAGGGTAAGGTGGGATAAGAAAGTTAAAGGCTAACGGGATCGAATCAATCATACAAACTCGTCATAAACCAAGCTCAACCAACATGAAAAGCAAGATAATCATGTGATCTCTATAAGCAACCAACATAGGAATAACCTAGCACAATGCTCTTTCTTTCTTTTTCCTTTTTCTTCTTTTTTTCTTTTTTTTTTTTTGTCTTTTTTTTTTTTAATACGAAATATAAGATAAACTAGCCTACATCGGATAACGAGACTACGTACAAGGCACGATCACATCTAAGTACATGATACCATGAGCTCTTCTTCATCCAAAAGATATTCATATAATTGATTCTATCCAAGGTTCAAAAGATGGCATCAAGAAAAGGATATTATAGCTTATAGTGTGGTTATAAATCAAAGAAAGGTTTAAGGCTCAAAAAGGCTTACTAGTGATTTATGAAAAGGGTGGGCTTCAAAAGAGAGGCTATAAAGAGAAATGGCAAGTCCTAAGTACCCTTATTTAGATTTTATGCATTCAATTTCATCAAAGGCGTACACACAGACATGCATAGCAACGCAAGTTCTAGAAAAACCAACTAGTCGAGACATCACACATTCAAGAAAATGGAGCAAAATATTTAATATATGCTCATAAGCTCAAATCTCACCAATAGGAAGGTAATAGCTAAGTGTTAATCCCATGCGTCTCCATCACAGAATCATCAAGTAATATTCATCATCATGTAGCATCAAGGGCTCAAACAAAACAAGTGTATGGACACAAGAAAATGATTGTTCTACTGAATTGGCATAGATGAATTAAAAATGACCACAAGAGAAATAACAATCAAGACTCAACACCATTAAACAAACCTCAGAACTCAAAACTCTGTCAAACACTATTAACCACACGTCAAATAATATGAAGTAATGCTAGACATAGAGACTCACAAAATTTTATTCAGGTGGCAGCTCTCATTGTGCATGGATAATCTCAAAAATCTGTCAGACCTCCCAGTAAAGCTCTCACGATTCCAAGTTGCTGTGGAAAAAGTTCCAAGTCTCTAATGACATGGTCATGTCGTTTAAATACCAACACCACCAGTCCCAATGTTGGAACAAAATTCCTGCCAATAAAACATAAAGAAAAGTATCAGCAACAGAAACGAATTATCTTAAGGCGTGGGCATGGCTTAGAAAAACTATCATTTAACATGTACGTGGTTCGTCCATGCCTTAAAAAAAATCGTTTCCACCTTAAAATTACCCCAAATTCTTAACAAACTAGAGAAATAACAAAATAAAGACTAACAAAATAAAATAAAATAAAATAAAATAAAAATAAAAATAAAAATTGGGTTGCCTCCCAAAAAGCGCCTTTTTTTTATCGTCGTTGGCTCGACATGAAGCTCTCGATTTAATCAGAATAAACGGGGTCCTCGAGACCCATTCTTTCTCCATGCTCGGGCTGAAAGTTCTCGTGATACGGTTTAAGTCGATGTCCATTGACTATAAAGGACTTCAAGCTCGACAGACTCCGAATCTCAATTGCCCCATGCATACAGACCTTGGTGACTTCAAAAGGTCCTTTCCATCTCGTTCGTAGCTTGCCTAGAAACAGCCAAAGACGGGGCTGGTATAAGAGAACTTTTTTCCCTACCACGAATTGCTTTCTCGAAATCATCTTATCATGAAAAGCATTCGTCTTCTCTTTGTAGATCTTAGTGCTCTCATAGAAATCATTTCTCATCTCTTCCAATTCTTGAAATTGTAGTTTCCTATGCTTACTGCTTGCACTCATGTCCAGAAGCTTCAGGACCTCAGCTTTCACGACATCCAACACCACCGGATTCAAACAGCGTTGGGGTTGATGAACAGGTTCAGCTTCTATTTTCCATAAAATGTGATGCGTGCAAATTGAGGGGCTTATTCCCTTTATGTCCGAGATAATCCACTCCAACGCTTGCTTGTGTGACTGGAGAACTTTCACGAGCTCGTCTTCTTGAGTTTTGGTAAGCTTACTCGAAATGATCACTGGAAATGTTCTCTCTTCTCCTAGGAATATGTACTTGACGTGGTCGGGCAAGGGCTTCAGTTCTTTGACGAGTGTCTGCAAAATGGAAGGCGGGGATTTTTCGTTAGTATCAAAAGAGCTAATACCAATAAACTCACCTTTACCATTGGTCTCTAAGCCATCATCCATGATCACTTTCTTGTCCGATTCATTGGCTTGACCTGGGATAATGCTAGGTAATGAGTTGTCTGCTAAAGTCCTGATGGTGTCACCCACGGTATTATCCTCTGAAAGGGAAAAAATTTCCTGAGCCAAATCATCAACCAAGTCAACAGATAGTACGGAATCTTCATCACCAGAATACTTCATAGAATTATATATATCAAATTTAATTAATTGATCATCAGATTCCATGCTAAGAATTCCATTATGCACATCAATCATAGTCTTAGACGTTTTTAGAAAAGGTCTTCCAAGTAAAATAGGAGTAACAACATTGTTATTCTCCATATCGAGAACATAAAAATCCGCTGGAAAAACCAAGTCTTTAACTTGCACAAGAACGTCCTCGACCAAACCCTTCGGAAACGCATTGGACCTGTCCGCCAATTGAATGACTACCCCAGTTGGACTTAAAGGTCCGAGCTTCAAAGAACTATAAATTGCATATGGCATTACGTTAATAGAAGCTCCCAAGTCTAACATAGCTCTTTCTAAATGCATTCCACCAATGACACAAGGAATTGAGAACATACCTGGGTCCTTGCATTTCGTGGGAAGTTTCCGTTGTAAAACAGCAGAGACATTCTCACTTACCTTAACTTTCTCGTGGCGTTTGAGTTGCTGTTTTCGCTTAACGGTGCACAACTCCTTCAAAAATTTTGCATAGCGAGGCACTTGCTTGATGGCATCTAGCAACGGGATGTTCACCTCGCATCTTCGAAACGTCTCATAAATATCTCGGATAGGCCCGTCTTTCTCATGTCGAACCCATGCCTGTGGGAAGGGTGGTTCAGGTTTGTACTCGGAATAGGTCGGCTTCTTCTTTGCCTTATCGCTTTCTCCTTCAGCTCCCAGGTCAGTTTTTTTCCTCAGTTTAGTTTTCATCTCCAGTTCAGTTTCACTATGAACATGGTCAGCGACATGGCCATGTTGGTTATCCGAACCTGCTGCTTCAAACTGCTGTGCGTGTGAATTTTTCTTTATCTGCTCCAACTCTTTGCCACTTACTAAGATCATGGAACTCACATTCTTAGGGTTTACCTCAGGTTGAGAAGGGAGCTTTCCACTAACTTGTGCCTCCAACCGATTCACAGAGGTCGCGAGCTGGCTTACTTGAGTTTCAAGGGTCTGGATGCTCACCTTGGTTTCTTTTTGAAATTGGAGAGTACTGGAGGCTAGTTGCTTCACTATGTCTTCTAACGAAGTGCCAGAATCAGAGTTTAGAGGCTGTTCGGGTGGTGCTTGTCTGCGAAATAATTGAGGGGGATGTTGCTGGAAACTCCCGCCATGGTTCGGGACGGGCTGTTGGTAAAACGAGTTCCCGTACCTCAAATTTGGGTGATCGCGCCAACCCGGATTATATGTACTCGAGAATGGATCATAGTGCTGCTTCCTAGGAAAGTTCCCATTTGTACCGACCGCATTTGCATGTGCCTCGATTTCATTTTCAATCACGGGACAAGAGTCGGTATCATGATCGGTGGTAGCACAAATTCGACAAGGCTTCACGGGCTTGGTTCCTCCAGTAGCTAATTGTTTCACCAAAGTAGTCAGTTCCATTAGCTTTTCCTCTACAACCGAGTTATTTGCTCCCGTCCCCGTTTTAAGTGTCACATCGTTACGGGTGCCAAATTGCTGCGAATTTGCCGCCATGGTGGCAATTATACGACTCGCTTCGGCTGGTGTTTTATCAACAAGAGCTCCGCCACTTGCAGCATCGACCATGTTCCTGTCCATTAATGCCAGGCCCTCGTAAAAATATTGGATAAGTAGTTGCTCGCTAATTTGATGTTGCGGGCAGCTCGCGCACAATTTCTTGAAACGCTCCCAATACTCGTACAAGTTCTCTCCATGTAATTGTCGCACTCCGCATATCTCCTTACGTATGTTGGCAGCTCGGGATGCCGGAAAGTATCTCTCCAGGAAAAGTCGTTCCATTACGTCCCATGTTTCAATCGAGCCCGACGGAAGATAATAAAGCCAATCCTTAGCAGCATCCTTCAACGAAAAAGGGAATGCTCGCAACTTGATTTGTTCTTCTGTGATACCCGTCGGCTTCATGCTTGTGCAAACCAAGTGGAGCTCCTTCAAGTGCTTGTATGGGTCCTCACCTGCATGACCATAAAACGAAGGTAAATAATGAATTAGCCCAGATTTCAATTCAAAAGTAATGTTATCATCTATAGCAGGGAAAGAAATGCAAAGGGGCTGAATATCCAAATTAGGAGCTGCCAGCTCCTTTAATGTTCTATTCGCATTCGCCATCTGGACCACGTCCAAGTCCTTTTCTTCAAAGTCCTCTTCCGAATCACCGTTAATCTCGAATAAGCTGGTAAGTGTCCCCTCGTCTATAGGGGCTGCCCTCCGCCTTGCTTCTTTTCTCAACCTCTTAGCTGTTTTCTCAATTTCTGGGTCGAATTGAATATCTTCGGGAACACTCGAACGCGTCCCGAGCATCAACTGCCAAGAAAATAAAAATCAAACTAACCAAGCTGTTAGAAAATTAGAAGATAGCAGAGAAAAGACAAGAGAACTAATAATAATAATAATAATAATAATAATAATAATAATAATAATAATAATAATATCACACAATCAAAGATTTAATTAAAATAATTCCCCGGCAACGGCGCCAAAATTTGGTCGTGCTGTCGTAGGCACCCAAATTAACCTTGCTTAAAAATATGTAGTAGCGTGAGCAAGGATCGTATCCACGGGGAATAATTTAATTAAATGACTGTAACTATGTGATTAAAATGGGGGAGAATTGGTTTTTAATCCTAATTATCTAATTAACAAGAAAATAAAGAAAGCAATAGTAAACAGTTCTTGAACAAGAGATTCGCAAGCAACAGCAAGATGAAGATGAAAGATATTACCAAAGTGCTCCGGTTGAACTGATTTCCACCCCAAATTATTCTACTGATCCTCGATGCAAATATTATCAACTCATAAATACGTAGATGCCGTTGAATGATGAATTCTGACTCCTAAATTGGCTATGCAAAATAAATCCTTCTACACAACCCTTATTACTAAGCAATTCCCAACATCGTGTAAAATTATCCTAGCAATAGCATTAAGAAGTAGAGCCCGACAACACAAGCAACAAATAACTAATCCGTCAAATGCTAACTTGTATAACTATTTTGCCTAAGAATGATAACGCCTAAATCCGGTCAATCACCACACTCAGTTGCTTCTTACGATAGATAAATTATCTAAATCCGACTCAATATCTACCAAGCAATAGATTAAGTGCACAAGACAATAGTTGATCAGGCTACGATCCTAACACAAAATCATAAACATAAACACACAAAACAATTAATACGAAATATGAATTAATAAATAAAAACTAATTAGATCTCACAGTATTAAGTTCGGGGTTTCAATCGTGTTCAACCGAAACAAAAGAGAATTAGCCGCGCAGGGCTTCCATAGAGTCTAACAAAAGTGTCGAAGAAAAATAGAACAAAGAGAAGAGAGTGTTTTAAGGCTGCTGGTGGCGTCCAAAATCCTTTTCTGTCTGCTTGCGGCTGTTCACCTCACGTGTAGTGTAGGTCTTCAAAATCTGATCTGCTTCCTTTTAATTACGGCTGGACTCTTCAAAATCCTTTTCTGTCTGCTTGCGGCTGTTCACCTCACGTGTAGTGTAGGTCTTCAAAATCTGATCTGCTTCCTTTTAATTACGGCTGGACTCTTATTATTGCTATTGGGCTTAGTGTGAACAGGCCCATGTTAAGAACTGATACGCTGTGCACCTCCGTGTATACTGACATGGCCATGTTCTACAAATATCAGCGCTGCCATGTTGGTTATATGTGCACCTAGTCGAGCTCATACGATCTAACTGCATCAAAATATCAACAATGGTAGATTCTACTCGAAGACATATTATAAAGTCGAAAACACGTCACTTAAGCACAAATATCTAATACAAACTCACTATTTTACTATAATAGAAACACATATTTTCGACTTATCACGCAACCAAAGAAGTATGGTCCATATGAGATTGTGCATAAGATTAATAATAATGCATAATGTCGTTAGAAATACGTTTATCATCTACAATTTATCAAAATAGGCTATCTTCTATCAAGTGCATCAAATAACGTTCATCTAGAAAACATTAATATCATCAAAACCAAAGGACACTGCCTAAATTGTTTAAAGATACACTTATCAAGGATATATCTAAAACATCACATTCTGGGATCAAATACTAGTCAAGTCACGACTGCTATTTCGCCAACAGAATCTCGAAAACTACATAGCTGATGCCCTGGCAAAACCCGAAAACCTGGACAAGCTGTCACGCGCAAGGACCTGTGGGTCCCCCTGTTCGACCTGGGAAGACAGCAAGAAATAACCAAATTATGCTTTATTTTGTTTTTTCTCATTTATGTTTCTAAACTGAAGCTGTTGAAAAAAAACGAGTGTACAAACCAGTATCCCTTGATCCAAAACGAAGATGGTGTCCATGGTTACAACAGTGGAAATGCGATGAGCAATCGTGAGTACAGTTCTGCTTTGGCATTCACTCGAAATAGCTGTCTGCAGCTTAGAAGCTGTTTGAGTGTCCACGTTGGCCGTGCACTCGTCCATGCAGAGTACCTGAAGAATTTCATACACAATCTCATGAAATTTTCATTAATTTAACCGAATTAATTTCCATATAATTACGAAGCCTACCCTAAAGAATTTTTAACTATTCACATATTCACATAATTACAAATTATTCACGAACTCTATCTATGTACCTTGGAAGATTTGAGAAGTGCTCGTGCAAGGCAAAGAAGCTGTCGTTGCCCGACTGAAAATGTAGTTCCAGATTCCTTTACATGAATTTCCAATCCCCCAGCAGCTTCAATCTCCTCCTTGAGACAGCATTTTTCTAGAATGTTCCATATTTTCTCATCGCTACTCATCTCAAATGGATCTAAATTGGCTCTGAAAGCTCATGTACAGGCAAAACACCGTTTTCATTAGGTACAAATATCATCATGGCTTCTATAAATTATTCCGTACTTACGTAATTTGCTTCACTCTTACCTTAATGATCCTTCAAACAAGAAAGGGCTCTGAGGAACGATAGCAATGCTAGACCGAAGATCTCTAACGGGAATTCGAGCAATATCTAACCCATCCACTAGAACACACCCACCACAAACTGGGTTGAGACGGAATAGAATATTCAAGATGCTCGATTTTCCAGCGCCCGTTCTTCCAACAATTCCAACCTGATCCAATGCCAGTCAGGGTATTTTCAAACTCAGAAGTCAATTCACAAAAACATTATTAACCATGAAAAGGAAATGAAGCCAGTGAATTTCGACTTGAAAGATACATATTATCTGGAAGGAGAGCTAGTTAGTAATCTTTGTGGGTTTTTTAAGAATTGTTAAAAGGAAAAGAAACACACACACACACACACATATATATATATATTGCAGATGGCTAAAAATGAATATGGTCGACTAACCCGACATCCTGCAGGGATGCTAAAAGAAACATTCGATAATGCTGGGGGCAAGGATGGCATATATCTAAGTGTCACGTTTTGAAACTGTATCTCTCCTTTCAATGGCCAGTTTGGAGTTAATGGTTGTTCACCGGACAACTTTTCCTGAGGGATGTCGATGTACTACAGTGTGAAAAAAAAAGAAAAAAAAAAAAAANGAAAAAAAAAAAAAAAAAAAAAAAAGAGGATCAGCAATTATCAAATGACAGGCACAAATTTAATTTTAATCCAACTCACCTGAAGGACCCTTTCAACAGAAACCATCTCCTTCTCTGTTTCGGTGAAGCTCGTCAAGAAGCTTCCCAACAAGGACACAATAGGGGAAGCATAAGAAAGAGCCAGACCAACCTGTTTGAAAGACGAGCTGTATGTTAGCATCGCACGAGCATAAACATTATGTAATTAGGCCAAACCTGAAGGGTAGATTTTTTTTAATTATTCGTTCGAAGTTTTTTCTTTTTTTGGTTAAGTGCTTTTGCAATTTTTGCATGTATAATAATATTTACCAAGCCCGGTGTACCCAAATTGACAGGGATATATCCGTGTGTTCCAACAATGGCCATCACGGCAACAAATGAGACGATAAATGCTGCCAACAACTGAAAAATCAAGCTTCCACGTCAGCATTTTCAACCTAAAATGGTCTAATAACATATCTCAAAAGTAAATGATTTCAAGGGGCATTATAATAATATACCTGAAGGCGAAGGGAAAGCCATAAACTTGCGATGACTTCTGTGTAAGAAGTTCGCTGATATATTCCCATGTGCTTCATGAATCTAAATAGAAACAAGTCCTGCACAAGAGTATCACTAATCAATTGACTTCTCCAAATACAAAACAACATCTGGCTGATTGGGAGAAATATTATCATGTTAAAGTTTAAGTCAACAAGCGACTACACAGAAACATTATTTGACTACTAGTGATTTTGCTATTGCAACAGTCAAAAATAAAATATATACATCTATAAAGGTATCAAATAATCAATTGAATAAGCATTAACATCAGTAGAACTTATACCGTAGAATTAAAAGCTCTAATAGTTGAAGAACCATCCAATGTCTCTGTAAATGATGCGTAGATAGGCGAACGGGACACACTGTCCAGTCTTCGCAGTTCGCGTGATGTTGACCTGTAGTAGAACTGGAACTTCTTGTGTTTAGTAATCTGATATTCAAACCCTTTTGCCGTGTTTGTACGATTCTTACTATTCACAATCAATTGGTCGATGGCATATATAGTCTGAATACTTATTTTAAGAAAACTATCTATAGGATTGCGAGAAGCAAACAAAATAGAAGGCAGTTGGCTGAAGCAAGAGCGATATTAGGTACCAACTGATATGAAAAATTATAAAACTTGTCCATAATAAGCACTCCTTAGAGAGATTTGCTATATGCTGGGTTAAAATTTTAAAAATTATATATATGATAGAATACAAACCTGCAATCTGCTGTAAATAAACCAAAACGGTATCAGTAGCAGCAAGAACATGACCTGCATATACCAGGAACACAATGGTGATGAATAATTATCCAGAATACGTATCGTAAACCTTAATTTCTAATCCATAAACACGGTATCACAAAAGGTAAATGACAAGGTACTTTC